TGAAATATCTTTGAGTTATCTTTGTGTTTATTTTATGTTTATCATCACGTGTTTATTATTGAGAATAATTCTTCGACATTATTGTAAATCCTCACCCGTGATTTCTTGAGTAATTGTTTTAGTTTTATTTACCCTTTGAGATTTTATTTGAAGCTACGAAATCCAACGTAACAGCGCAGTAAATTTCACTTAATTTCAGCCAGCATTATTCCATATTTTTTTTCAAAACTTTGAGACTTAATAACTTGGTATTCATATATCCAATCCATGTAGTCTTAGTATCATTGGAAAGCTCTTAACGCTCTTTTTCAAACGATTACAAAATCGCATGAAACTAATCACAGAAAGCCAAAATATTCCGCCCTAAAGATCAGCCAGAAATTATGTTATAGTGCTGGCCAAAATCTGATCTGCAAATTAACTACACTATCCAATCATAACATGATTTTTAACAATCAATGCTGGCCTAGCATTTTGGTCACAAAAAGACCGCAAAGCAATAAAAACAAGCAGATAGCTAAAAGGAAATAAAAAGAGGACAAAACAATAAAATCAAGGAAATATCTACAAATAAATAAAAAGACTACAGAGTAATAAAATCAAGTGAATAGCAATAAAGCAATAAAAAGGCTATAAAACATGAAAACAAGTAAGTAAGTAACAATTTACTCATAACTAGATAACAATTTAATGCAACTAGGTCATAATATATATATTATAATCTAGTTAACTTTCTAAATTCTATATCTTTTTATATATTAGAAGTAATTTAAAAACTATTAATTTGTGATTTATTGTAATCAGATTTGATTATATAAAGATAGTGAGGATAACATAATTATTTTTCAACTTTTAAATAATTATATTGATTAAAATTGTCTTTCTCTTTTATATTTTTAGTGTATTATTTATAATTTCATAATATTAATCTAAATTAATTTAATAATTATGAATAGAATAAGAGTTAAGATTTTTTATATCATTATATAAAGTTTAAAATTAATTTTTAAAAAAAAATTATTTTTTATTAAAACTTTTATATTATAAATAATAAATACAAATTGATTTTTTAATATATAAGATTTTTATGCAATTATACAAAACATGTTTAATTTTATTATTGTTATATATATTTCTTATAATATATTTAATGTATTATACAAATTATTCTTTCAAATAGTATTATAATTTTTAATATAGCAATATTTTTAGAAAATAATTTTCTTAGATAACTAAATAAATGTTTTATAATATATTACTAGTTTATACTAAATACTAATATATTATTTACATGATTATAAAGGAATTTCTAATTTTGAAAAAATTTCTTTATATTATAAATATTTTGCTACTAAAATAATTTAATAGAATTTTATTATATTAAGAGAAAATAATATCTGTTTGTAAATTAAATTAAAATTAAATAATAATAAATAATTATTTTTCTATTTTATTTTTTAAATTAATATTTCATCATTTGATTTGATAATATAAATAATAACCTAAATTAGAAAAGTAATTATATTGTGATTAAATATAGATGTAATATTTCTAACATTATTTTCTTCATAAAAATCTATATCAATTTTAATATAGTTTTATTTTTTTTTTGAATTTATAAAATTTTATTAAGAATTTTACATAATTTTACTAAATTTTACTTTTTACTATTAGATAACTTGTTAAATTTCTAGATTATATTCTACATTTTTTTTTTTTATATTTTTATAAATAAATATAATTATAAATTAAAAATATTAATTAAATTATAAAATTAAATTAGATCAGATTATATATTAATTATTAATATACAATAAATATTTTATAGTAAAAAAAACAAGAAATTTATAAAAAAAAAATTTTTAATTTTATAAGTTAAATCTGATTTTTTAGTAAAATAATTCAGATTTAACATTAACTTTAAAAATTTTTTATGAAGTTTTCTCACTTTCTACTACAAAGTATCTATATAATTTAATTATAAATTATAAATGTAATTTAATTTAATTAAAAAAAGAAAATTAATTTATAATATTGTATAATATTATGCATGTGATACAAACTTGAAAATTGATTGGCAAATCTCGTGTTTTTTTATCTAATCCGTTTTATCAAACACGAGATAATATTTCCAGGTATATAGCGCTACTTCTTCGCAAAGATTTTTTTTTTTTACCACTTTCCTGTCTCTCTTTCCTTTCCTTTCTCTTTTTCCTTTCTTTTTTTGTCTTTTTTCTTTTCCTTTCCTTGTTCTTTTTCTCTTCCTCCTTTCTTTCGCGAACACAGTCTTTCGCAAGCACATTCTGTTTTTGTGTCACCTCTCTTTAAGAAACCTTTAACTTTATTTCCCATGTATAAAAAACTTTTTCTTTCACAGAAGTTCTTTGAAAAACAGCCGTAAAAGGTCTACTGGTTCTGGAGGAGGTTCCGGTTATGTGCCTTCCTTTTACGGTCTCTGAGCTTCACCAGATAGAAACTGGCCAAACTACCAGATAGAAACTGGTTACCAAACTTCCAGAGGAGATAACTGGGAACCAAACGCCCCAGAAGGACAGAACTGGGAATAACAAACCGCCAAGAAGGAAAACTTGGGGCATGAAAGGGGGGTAAAAAAAATAAAATAAAAAAAATAAAAATAAAAATAAAGGCATTAGATAGAAACCCAAAGACTCTCTCGGTTGAGGAGTTCCGCTTTGTTATAGTTTGCAATTAGCACCGACGCCCTCGTCGTGCAACATGGGTATTAACTAGTTTACCAACATATTTTTTTGGGTTGCGAGTAGACCGACTCGTCGTGCAACCTGGGTACTAGTTTACCAACATATTTTTTGGGTTGCGATTAGTACTGACGTCCTCGTCGTGCAACCTGGGTACTAGTTTACTAGTAGCTGACAAGTACTATCATTATTTTGCAATCAGGTAGTTTTTCGTTTTCGGTTTGAATTTTGTGAGCTTTTATACCCTTGTAGTTGTAATTTGTTTATTTGTTCAAATAATAATAAAAATCAAGATACGATAACGAAAGTTTTAAAGTCTAAAATTAATTAGTTTTTTTTTTATTCGCCGTTAACTTGTATTATCCTTATTAAAAATCCACACGAAACAAATCGTTATGTTTAAAAGCAACTGTACTGGTACTCAAATAATTGATTACAGCAGAAAACACCTCACTAGCCTTTTTAGTTAGAGACTAGTCCAGAGGGAAAAAAAGGTGAAACATTTTTTGCAAACAATGAGATAAAATGGATTTGTGCATTATATAGTATAAATTGATATTTAAATTTAAAGATAAAAGCAAATAATGCAATGCAACCGTTAGTTACAGTATGTTGGGGCTTTCTTCAGCAGACTTTTTCGATTTATATTTTAACTTTTTCAATTTCAGGTGTCTTAACTGTCGAATAGACTATATTCATGATTGTTCTGTTGAAGAACATGCTCCATTCAGAATCACAAATAGACACAACATCAGAATTTCCATCTTTATATTTTAATTCTCCCTGCCATGCCTCCCGCACGTTCTTTTTTATGATTACATTTACCGGATTTACAGTAACCCTCTCATACTCCTCATACTCCTCATAACGGCGGGTGTCACTTTCCACATACTTCTTTGCTTCGACTTAAGAAATATATTAAATTTACTATGAATCTAATTAATTTAGCTGATTATATTTCTATAATAAATTTGTAGCCAATAAATTAGCATTTTAGTAACGTTATCTTTTAAATGCCTTCGTGAAATTTACGTGATACCACGGATCATAGTAAAAAGAATCGCTTATCGTTAATATTGCTTCTTTCGAATAGTTTTTTTTTTTTTATGTGGTGTTATGTTTGATTGTACTCTTCGCATAGAATTTTACGGAAACGAACAAAAACTTACTAGGAACTCCCTTAATTGCCATATAAAAGCACAGTGGAAGCTCCATGGTGATTGCATTATTGGTTGCACTGTTAAATCTCATTAATATCGATATATTATTTTTTTTTTGGAAAATTATCGAAAATTTCGTAATTATATGATCACATGATTTTGCCATATTTATATTTTACGCGGACGTGTATTCCAAAAGATTACCTTTTTCCCACGACGGACGACAGACAATAATAAATTAAAAAATAGTCTTTATTTTATTAGACACATACGAATTTTTACTTTTAACCTGCAAAGTTGTTCTCCAAAACGGTATATAGTAAGGTATTTGATTTTTGTTAATTTTATTTTTTATTTTTATTTATTCCCTAATTTTTTTTTTTTTTTTTTTCCTTTATTTTCTTATATAGACGTGGAAGTATTAGCCTTATTTGCAGCCGCTTTGGGCTTCAAAAAGTGATTCAGGAAGGAGGACGATGGTATATTTTTTAGTGTATTTTTAACACTTCTTATAATATATCTTGCAGTTATTATTCTTGAAGATATTAATTTTTTTTAAGGTGAGAATGCGCTGTCTTTTGACGGTTTTAACGATACAACTCACAGTCAATATTCGTATCGAGTAGTTAATCATAGGAGGTATCTTGCCCTATGCATGCTTTAAGGGTTAAGGACAATATCGTCGTAAAATTTAGATACCAATTTTTCATACTTTTGTATAGGCACATACTATGACTAACTCTTGCCAACACTTTTTATCATTTTTATAGGTTACTACTACAAGTCATTACAAGTCACTACAAAGATTCTCTAAGGAAAATTATTACCAAAATGTTGATAGTTTACTGAATTTTTTTATTTGTTTTTTTTTTTTTTTTTTTTTTTTGTATAAACAATTTATATATATTTTTATAATAATAATAAGATTAATAAATATTATTTTGCTATAAATTATTTTATTTAAATATGTAATAAATATAAATCTAATGTTAAGAAAAAAAAAAAATAAATTTCAAAGTTATTAAATTTTTTTCTATCTAAAATATAAAATAAATTTTTAATTGTAAAAAATTCTACATATTGATTAATATTATAAATATCTTTCTTATAAGCAAATATATAGATTAATAAAAAGGAAGCAGATACAGTAGAAGTTGATAAAGAAGAGGTAAAAGGAATAGCAAAAGGTAATAAAAAATGTAAGAACTGAAAAAGAAATTGAAGAAGCTATTTTTATATAATAATAATAAAATTAAATAAATTTTGTTTAAAAAAATAAAAAAAATGATAACTTTTTTACAATAACAAGCAAAAGAAAAGCAACCACTATTGATTATCTTTAAAAGTTTATAACAGGTTAACTATAAAAGTTAAAATCATAATCTTATATTTATTTTAAAGCCTAAATTTTGAAAATAACTTATATAAATTTAATATTTAATTAATAATATTAAATTTGTATAATTTAATGATTTATATTGTTAAATGGAATAACTCTTGAACTAATGATCAATATTTCGATGGAAATAGTATCATTAGAACCGTCTTGATG